TAAAGAATACACCCTAAATAATAAAGAAAATACTTTATTCAAAATGTCGTTCACAGCTAATCTCAAAACCACAAACCCTAAACCCTCTACCCTAAACCCTAAACCCTAAACACTAGTGCCTAGGCACTACTATGCAGAAAGATATCCCTTCAAATGCGGCCTAATTCAGTACTACAAGCCCTAAACACTAAACCCTAAACCCTAAACCCCCAACATTCAATGCTGATGAGGAAGTCTTACCCGCAAGCGCTGCATAACACAAAACAACAAACCCTAAACCCTAAACCCTAAACCCTTGATCGTACATTGAACTCGGCCTCGTCTTCTATTTCTAGCAGCTTGTGAAAGCTGTTTAACTCGTCAGGAAACACATCGCTGCAAAACAGATCCAGCAAACCCCAAACCCTAAACCCTAAACCCTAAACCCTAAACCCTAAACCCTAAACCCTAACGTCAGCTACACAACTATAGCTGATAATGCCCCCATAAGCAGCATAGAGCAACCGGCAGCCCAAACCCCAATCCCCTGCAGATCTAAACCCTAAACCCTAAACCCTAAACCCTAAACCCTAAACCCTAAACCCCGCCTCACCTCAAATCAAAAATCTTCAACCGCGATATCATCGCCTTGCAGCTGTTTGTACACCTGAAAGTATAGAAACAAAAAAAGCAGCAAATACAATAGATGCAATATTTAGGCTTCGTCAGGTGTACATACACCGCAAACCCTCAAAGGGCCCCCATCCTCAGCTTCTCTTCTTAATCTCTAGTTAAGAAACAAACAAAAAGACAGCAGCAGCAGCAGCAGCAGACCAGCAGCAGCACCACCAACCGATGCAGCAACGCAACAGCAACAACAACAGCAGCAGCAGCAGCAGCAACAACAGCAGCAGCAACAACAGCAGCAGCAACAACAGCAGCAACAGCAGCAGCAGCAACAGCAGCAGCAACAGCAGCAGCAGCAGCAGCAGCAGGACAACGTTGCGTACAACAAGAGGGAGGTTAAGAGGCATGATGATATCATTATAAACAGCAATGGAAGCTAATAACCCTGTTAAACAATATTCTCTGCCCTTTCCGCGCGGCATGGTCTGCAGCAAGTTGCTGCTGCAGCGCTTTGCTGCTGTTGCTGCTGTCTCCTGTACAGCTGAGGAGACACCTGACTCGTGTGGGGTTTGCTGAGGAGCTGCAGCAGCAGCTGCTTGTGTTGCTGATGCTGCTGTTCCTGCTTCTGCAGCACCAGCACCTGAACCACCTGCAGGGTCTGTATCTGCTGCTGTTCCATCTGCTGCTGCAGCAGCAGCAGCAGCAGCAGCAGGAAGAGCAGCAGCATCTGCTGTCTCTGTCTCCTCTTGCTGCTGAAACCACACTGTCCTCACAGCTGCATTATATGTAAACAGACCCCGCGAAGGAGAGAAGAGCTCTCTTACTAATAACTAAACAAAATAAACACAAACAAACAACAAAAAGATATAAATATAAATAAATAAATATATATTATATATATTATATATATTATATATA